AAAAAAAAAAACCTATATCTCCACTCATTATAATTGAATATTGAATAGATGTACGGTCCTTTTTGTATTAGCCAATGTGACTCACGACCATAACGACACAGATGTATGAATCCTAAACTACATTCCAAATGAATCAAGGGCGATCTGAAGTACATGGATTTATTTGCTCAAATAACATTCTGAATCAAGACTCCAGGTCCAGGAGCTAGATTCTAGCAGTGTGCAGGAGAAAGTAAACAAACAAAAATCTGTGAAATTAATCCTACCCTAAAGTTGTGATCATAAAGGCAGTAGTACATTAATGTATAATGATTTGAAAAATAGAAATCTCAGAATTAATAAGTTTACTTGGAGATGCCAAGTGACAAAAACCTGCAGCAAGCAACTCCTATAATCCAGCCTTCTTCTCTAGTTTTTGAATTTGATTGAGGAAGATCCACGTCATCTGCGTAACCAAAAATAAACATATCATTAATGCGTGTAATATGAATGACAACACTTCCTTTGTCAAACAAGGCGACTTCTGAGGTCAAACCTGATACGGGTTTACAAGTTCAAGTTTCATTATTTTATACACAGATGGGACTCACCAAATTTCATTTCCTCTCACACCATATAAAGGAGACATACAAACTCAAAATGTCAAGTGATTGAAACAACAGGATCTTGATTCAGAAAGACGGTAGAATCTTAATACCAACAGTATTCTTTTTCTAGTAAGTTCAACGGTCATGGCAGATGTATGTTATAGGGTGAGTGGTCATAGAATCACCATAAAGAAGAAATCAGATAGAAATCATTTTAAAAGAGTCATTTTAATTGGCATTATAACTTCTAAATTCTCATGCCAATGTAGTTAAGTTATCTTTCTCTCCTTTCCCCTTCTATTACTCTTTTCATATCTAAACCATCTAGCCATTTGATAAAGTACAAAAAAAATCCCTAAGACATACCCTATCTTTTTTTGCACAAATCATTTCATTATCTAACCTTTGTTAAGTGAAGGAAATTTGGTAAATTCTATACTTATATCAAAATATGTTCCTCATAAATATTATTATTCTATACTAATAATTTGAGAATTGAGATTACCAATTTGCCATTCACTTAACAAGCTTAGATAACGATCAAAGATGATTCTTGTGCAAAAATTACAAAGTTTAGGCATTAATTTCAATTTTTTGTCAACAAACCTATCCATGATGCCTCAGGGACGTTTTTGGTACTTTACCAATTTGTCATTCACTTGAAAGAGCTCAGTTAATGGTCAAAGATTATTTTTAAGCAGAGCTCAAGCATTAATTTGTAATCTTTTGCCAATGGATATATCCAATTAAAGCATATCTCAGGGATGCTTTTGATACTTAACTATTTATTGTTTTGTTGATGTTTTTTTCTTTGTTCAAATTTTGTGTTGTTTCTTTCTAATAATTTAAATATACGCATAGTAAAGGGCCATCACCCTAATTTTCCTAGATCTGCCACTGTATTTTTCAAATGGGAAGTTGAAAATCAGTTTGACCTAAAAATTCACTTTCACCTCATTAAGAAAAATCGTGTTTGTTTATTGTGTGTGTGAGTATGCAAGCAAACATGTAAGGGAGAGAGAGAATACCATGACATGAGGAGCAATCCTAACGCAATAAACAGGAAACCCTGTGTAGAATTTGAAAGGTCCTCCTTCCTTGAGGGTTTTCATAGCACAATCTAGAGATCCTGTGTAAGGGTATTTCCCCTCCGCATTAGGCTGCATCTTCTGAATTTGGGTTTTGACATAATCAAAAGGCAAACTGCAGGCTGCAGCGAAGAACCCTGATACCGAACTAGCACCTGCAAAAGGGAAAAGAAACAAACAGAAAATTGATAATTAGATCTAGAATCAAATAAATACTCCAAATACAGAGATAAATAGCGGTAGCTACTATGTTATTACAATTCAGTTCACAGTTTTATGTAGTTCCATAGGACCAAAGAATTAAGTTTTATGAAATTTGGAAACTGGCAACCGAGACCTTGGAGTGCAGCTATCTCAGTTCTAGTAGTAATTTTGAACCTGACATCATACAAATGTCATCAAATTTAAGGTTCTTCAAGTACAAACAACAAATTTATTTCAAATTTAAGCTAGTGAAATCATTACTGTCTGTGAGAAATTGAGTTTGTATTCAAAAGGTTCCAAGTGAGATACAAAAAGTAATTCCTTTCAATTACTACTTGTGTATTTGAGATAGTTACATATTTATGGTTTATTTTAACTTTATATTGCATAAAAAAAAGTACATTATATAAAAAAAGAAATCTAAAAAATAAAAAAAAAATTATCATTTTTATAGACCTATATGTGTTTTTGTCCTCTTACTCGTAAGCCCCCTTGGGCTACAACCTCAAACACAATAAAAGATTGACAAACTCTCACGACAAACCCGGAAAGGTCAGTCACTTAATTCCATCCTTTACGCCAACAAAATGAGGATTGTTTATTTCTTAAAATGAATTAGAAGTAACATTTGAAAACGTAAAATATATTATTTGTCTTCAACTTATTTAAGATGTTGATCAAAAATATTTATTTTATTCGTGTAGGCATTTAGCTAATACATTTGCCCCTGTTTAAGTGTCATATGTATAAGTTAAAACAGTTTTACAGACTTGGTTTAATAGATCGTCATTTTGGACCAAATGTATGGGTTGGTTTAGGTTTGAATGCCAAAAGTTCAAAACTAAAAGTCATATTACTAAATCTATCCAACGACATAGTCGAGGGACAATTTTGTAATATACTGTTTGTTTTATTTCACAGGGATCTAGAATTAAGTGATTAAATTGATTGTACACAGTTTTAATAGAGAACTTGTGTGGACAAGATTTAAGTGTCAGCAGATTAGTGTATGTGGTGCAAGTTCAATTCCAAATGAACTATTCCAAGGATTTAGAATAAACATTACCGTGCTAGTAAAGTTCTCATATATATATATATATATATATATATATACATATACATATATATATATACATATATATATATATAGAGAGAGAGAGAGGAGAGGTCAAAATAAGATTACACAAGAATAGCTAAATCACATGTGATTTTACACTGAAGTTACATGTGATTATAGAACACGGTCAACACAAAGGCGTGCAGGCGAGTTGATCTGCGACCTAGGTCGAGGCCAAAGTCATGCCTTAATCACATGTGATTTCGCCGTTCTCTTATTTTGACCATGTTCCCATTTGAACCGAACTATATATATATATATAATTTAGGGACACACTAGTACACTTTTCCTGCACACCAGAAATGAAGAAAAATAATATTTGGTATTTCAAATAGTTTCAACTTACCTAGAATCGTAGCACCCTCACCAAAACCCAGATTATCCTTGAAAAACTCCACACTTTGATCATAAGAGGCAAGCATGCCCATGTTTAATGCCATTGCCCTTACAACAGTTGGACCAGCACCTTTCCAGAGAGCCAACACTCCTTCATCTGCAGTTATCCTATATAAAGCATGGAATGCATTTGTGTAATTACGACGCTGGGCAAGGGGTAGGGTGGCGTCAGCCTGCATACGAATTAGTGCCAAATCAGCTGGGCTCCCTACACATGCTCCAATCGCTCCAGCTGTCAGCCCACACAAAGCTTTCTGATATAAAGGAAGAGGCTTTCCATCATTGGCCTCAAGTGCCTTGTTCGTCAAAATCCTATCAAGTTATTAAAAACAGGTTAACAAGGGATACATATATAATCCATCATTCAGTTTTGACTATATGTGCAATGATGGACCAAACACTCATCTGGCACAACAGTCGATTTCTTCATTGCATCAGCCCTCATTGGCTCATTCTATTCTAAATATTATGAACCTTTTATGTATGTGAATGTTGATGTCACTTACATCAACATGTGATTTGTAAAAATCCGTTTATATCAACATTTTTTGTGGTAATAAAATGAAGCAATGGTACACTCAAGTCAAGACCACGCTACCAAAGGGCCTTTGGCCTAGCGGTATGTGAGTCTTTGGCCTCCTAGGAGGTCAAGGGTTCAAACCTCACCAAACGTAATTAAAAACTAATGAGAATATAAATATAGAATATTAGTTAATAAATTTTAAAAAAATAAAGAAATATAATAATATAATATAATATACTTATAGTAAAAACATATAAAAATTGCTAAAAAACAAAATTAAACAAATACAATACTTATTAAATATAAAAATATATATTATATTATATTATATATCTATAATAAAAGCATGTAAAAGACTAATCAAAAAATCAAAAGACACAAAAATACAAATACAAAAGTTATTAATTATATATAATAATATATTTTATATATTTATAGTAAAAATATATGAAAGATATCAGAAAAAATAAAAAAAATAGAACAGTTATTAACTAAATATAATAATATATTATACGTCTAATAGTAAAAATATAAACAAGAGTAATTAACACTAATCAGAATATTAAGAGAGGGGCTAGGAGATAGAAAGAAGTGCCGTATTTCTTTGACTCATTTTTAGGGTTTTATTCTTTTATTAATGAAAAATTCCATGAACTCAGTCGGACGCTCTCCAACCCCCACCCTTCAACGCCTTTGTCCATGTCTCAATCAACTGATGCGTACGATTCAAACAGCCCTTAAGAGGCGGCACCGCATATACGTTTTCTGGACACCTCGCTTTGAGGCGTGCTTCAAGGCGTACGCCTCCAACGTCTTTAAAACCATGTATATATTCACATACATACCAAAAGAACATCTTTACAAAAATTAGTCTGTATAAGGTACATGTAGCAGTTGATGAAGATAAAGCAGAATAGCAGAAGCCAATGACATTGAAAACCAATAAAACAGCAACATCCATTTTTTTCATCAGGGTGAATTCTAAGGTTCCTTATTCCAGTTGTAAAGTAGAAGAAGAGGTGCGAAGGCCCAAGAATACGCTCATTCGCCCTATGTTAGCCAGTTTCAACTCTGGACTAGCAGGTTCGTGAGACTGTTGCTGAAAACTTTGGCTTTGTGCTAGGACACGGTATGAAGAGATGGCTCGACAGACTTTTTGGGTGCTAAGATCCAAAGTCAAGCCCTGAGGCTGTGTCTCGATCTCCTATGTGCAAAATCTAAGGGACTTGTTCCTATGAGGATTTGAACGGGATCTTATATGATGTATACAAAAGCTAAATTCAAATAGACGTAGCATCTAAATATCCTCCAATAAACATTCATTTATCAAATAATTACTCACCTGAATGTACCAAGTCTGGCAGTTGTATATGTTGCTTGCCTTAGCAACCCAGCAGACAGGCCCTGCTCCAACAACACCATGGTTAGAAAATTTCATATGCATGATGAGTGAATGCAAGAAGAATGCACTTGACAAAGAAATACATGGATCAGGAAGATCCTGACATGAGATTTACCAGATCCATTTTAACACTTTGGAAAGGGATGTTACCGGATGATGCATCTAAATCAAGTGATGGTGCTTTTGTGTAGGATACTTGGTGTATGGATGCCATATGGATTACTATTCAAAATTAAGAATTATGTGCTTATGTTATCTCCACTGAGGACTGATTCCGCTCAATATTTTCTAATTGTTGTGAATGTCGATTTGTTGTTTATAATGAATGGGTTTCTGTTATGATTATCTACAATTTAAAGTGATTTATATACAATTATATGCTTTGATTTGTTACATTTATAAAACATGTGAAATAACATACTATCTACTTTGTTGAGAACATGAGTAGATATTTGAACATGTGGCTTGCTTATGTTGTATTGAATCAGCTATCCAATTGTGTGATGAAGATAGGTGATACAATATAAGCAATCCACATGTTCAGATATCTACACATGCTTTAAACAAAGTAAATAGTGTGTTATTCGTTATTAAGTCATGTTATGTCACAACATCCTTTACAAATGTAACAAATCCAAGCATTATGTATATAAACCACATTAAAATTGTAGAACATCATAACATAAACTCATTCACTATAAACAACTAATCAACTTTCACAATGATCAAAATATCAAGAGGAATCAGTCCTCGGTTAAGATCACATAAGCACATAGACACATTTATAATTACATATAGAATATGCCATTACATTTTACCATTGATTATTCCAGAACTGATGAACTATAGTAGGATGGACAAACCTTGTAAAAAGCACCAACACCATCATTCTTTAGCATATTCTTTGTCACCGATACAGCAGATCCTTGACCCAGTTGGATTCTCACCTATCAACGAATCACAACAACTTGGCACCATAAATTAAAAGTACAATACGGTTCAAATTTGAGAACAACTTGCAAGTTACAACTCAAGAATTAACAGATTAACGAGCATTGATAATTGTGTGCCATATAGCTTTGACATGAATAGATTTGGTTCAAGCATGAGATTCAAAGCAGGTCAAAACTAAAACAAATCACTAAGACACAATCAACCAATTTTCACTTTAGAAAACAAGAAAGTTGGCACAAACGACTTCGAGTGTAAAACTTAAGTAGTTTAAAATGCCGATCCAGATCAAATTTGAAGCAGCAAACCACAAAAAAGTTAATTCAAATGTCAAATCAAGCAAAAACCCTACATAGTTCAATAGCATCCAATCTAAAACGCTTTTGAGGTCTTAAAACAACAAATCCACCAGTTTGAAGTACTAAAACCATCATTTTCTTCGCTCACAAATCCAATTCAAAAAAGAAACAAGATCTGGGATCAACAAGCTTCGGTCATTACAAAGCTAAGCAGATGCATTTCTCAACCAGTCTTCAAGTAAAAAACACAAGATCTAAAACCCCTAAATTAGTGTCATTGGAACGCAAACAGACGCAATTTTCGACAATTACAAGACAAGAAAAACCAGTAGAAAAGATTCAATCTAATCGAATTCATGTACCTTAATCATATCGATGGGCTGGATGACGCAGGTAGCAAGCATACCAGAGGCTCCACCATTGACGAAGGGCTTAACGGTGGGCCATACGCCGCCGATAGGCTTTGGTTTCTCCTCTCCCATTTAGAGAAAATTTGGCGAAAATGGTTAAGGGGAGAGAGAGGCGAAATCAAATGCAAGAGAAGGGTTTCAGATGCAGGGCAGCGGGTGGGTAGAGACACAAACCAAATATTTATACAACACAATTAATTGTTTATTTATTCATGGATATAAATATTCGTGACAACTCTTGCATATATGTCCATCGTTTTTCATGAAATTACCAAAATGACACCATATTCTATTGACCATAATACCCTTCATTGCTTTTCCCTTAGACAATACACATCGTCAACCACAAATGTTGTGTCTGATTGGTTTGAGCTTGACTCCAAAGATCAAAAGTATCAGGAGGTTCCTGGTTCAAATCCAATGAGGAATAAAAATCTTCTTATGGCTACGGAGGTCCAAATATGGTGACTCCGGACCATCTGCTCCTGTAATTAGTCGGCTCGTATAGCGGGTTGGATATTCAGGTTAATCAAAAAAAAAAAAGATCGTCGAAAACTTTTTTATAGTTATCAAAGACAGACATATGAAGACTTCAGTAGGATTTTATACACTTGTTCAACTTTTTTTTACAAGTACAATTTTTTAAACGTGAAAAGTGGATAAGCACATCGACCAAAAACCGAAAATATTTCTTCAACTCAACCAAAAAACCGAAAAAGTCCCAAAATTACCCCAAAAAGAACTTCAAAAAATGTCCCAAAACTTTGGAATTTGGTTAAAACAAATCGAACGAGGACCTTAAAGGTGCATTCGTTCCACAAAAATCTTGAGTCTGATACTAGAGCAACTAATACAGTGCCTTGGGCGAAATAGGTGTTTGTATAGGAGAAGCACGGAAAGCTAACAAAAATAAATATTTTATGAGTTTATCTGTAACATGAGGATTTACGAAAAGAACTCTCAACAGTACACTAATTTGTAGACATATTGTTCTAAACAGATATAAATAACGACTAAAGTTGCAGTTTTTTTTGTATTATTAGTCTAAATTTTTAATTACAAAGTAATTCAATAATCCTTTTGTAATTCACTACTAAGGGGCCGTTTACCAAACCCTTACATGGGTAAGTGCTTACCAAGTAACATTACCTCATCGGATGAATATGGTAAGGACCAAAAATCTTACCCGGTAAGAGCGAGATAAAGACCAAGAGTCTTACCTGGTAAGTGAGGGCGACGACTCTTACCACGGTAAGCGCTTATCGAGTAAATTGTTGGATACGATGTCGTTTTGGTGGACTAAAGTCTTACTCGGTAAGTAAATAATAGTGTTAAATTTTACTGGTAAGCACTTACAGGGTAAGTGTTTGATAAACGTCCCCTAAGATTCCAAGACAATCATGATATTTAACAACAATCCTATTTGAACATATGAAGTGGGGGTTATTTGATAAACGGGGAGTTTTGCTATTCATTTGATGATACCAAATTACTGTACTGAAGCTTTGTAGATGACCATCTTTATAAGAGCAAATTGCAGAAAATAAATCTTAATAGGTTCTTGAGAATAGGTTTGACAATGAACTCGGAATTATCCCAAGGGAATAGTGAGAGTAAAAACTAGAATTTGTAAGGGGCCGTTTACTAAAGGTTTAGCCGGTACGTACTTACTGGGTAATTTTATTTATCGGATGAACATGACAATGGTAAAAAAATTTACCCAACAAAAGTAATGATAAAGATGAAGAGTCTTATTCGGTAAGTAAGGGTAACGACTCTTACCCGGTAAGCCCTTACTGGGTAAATTGTTGCATACGATACCATTTTGATGTACTAATATCTTATCCAGTAGAATAAATTACAGTGTTGACTCCTAATAGTAAACGCTTATCGGGTAAGCATTTAGGTAAACGACCCCTAAATCTTTTATTCATAGATACACCCTTAAACATGCACTATAACATGATTCAAAGTTAAGTGAGCTGAAACATAATTATTCCAACACTAAACATGTATAGAATCCAACTATTTATCCTACCACTGGAAGGTTTTTGAGTACAATATCGGATTGGGTTCACGTGAGACCAATGGTTTTTCGTGAGACCTGTAAGACAAATTTATGTTCATTGATCAACTTCATAAGTTAATGGTCTAATGGTCTAAAATTGCACGGTGGCAAATTTGTAATTATTGAGAAGTCTCGTAGCAATTTTGTGATTATGAATGTTGAGATTGTAGATCTAATCCAATGGTTGAGAATTGATCTTACGATTCTCACGAAAAAGCTTTGGTCTCATATGATCCCAAGTGATACAGTATCTAAATGAAAGATTTAGATACATCTCTTCTAATTCCAAAAAATTTCAAGAATCACCTTAATCGAAGTTATAATAGAATTTGTACGAATTTTATAAAATCAGTACGCTATTTTTGTCTAAAATCCACCCATTTCAAAGAATGGTTATTATGACATACTTAGAACCAAATTCATTTTCGCTTAATAAATTACCATTGGATTCGTCATTAATTTGTTGGGTCATGTTGTACCTTCTAAACGTATGTCCAAACTTTTTACAGAGTATTTTTTTTTAACTTTTAACTTTATTTTAAACCTAGACACAGAGAACTAGAGAAAGAGTCAAACTCGACCCTCAATTCTCACATTGAAAGCTCTCACTCTTAACCCTCAGTTCGATTAAGGTTCTTCTTATTAAAATTTTAAGTTCGTAACTACTCAAAACTTGTCTCTCGTCTTCAAAGTGCATGCGAAGTGGTGAATCTGTAGTAGATTGTTGGGATTCGAGAGTTTGATGATTGTTAGGACTCGGAGAATTTTAATGTTAAAAGATAGAGCTTAATTCTTAATGTGTTGTATTTGTATGGAGTATAACTATGAAACTTTGTTTTTCATTTTCTGCACGCCTCAATTTTTTTAGTACTATATCGCAAAAATCACATCGTATTTATTTTACAGTTTAAAACATGTATGTTTTAGTTAGTGGTTTCGGAAAATGCTCAAACCATATATGCAATTTGGATTGCAGGTTTATAGCCAACTAGTAATCCAAACCGAACCACACTTCATTTAAGTTGTGGTTTGGAGCATGCATAATTTGGTTCGTATTTTGGGAAAATTCTCATACTTTGCCTCTACAGTTTAGCTCTAAACCATATTGCACCGCATTTATTTTGCGATTTAAAGCATGTACGATTTGATTTGTCGTTTGAGAAAATAACCAAAAGCACATATCTTATTTGTTTTGAAGGTTTAAACTCTAAACTACACCACACAATTTTATGGGAAAATAACAACTTTGAGACATTCATATTTTATGCCCATCATTATGGAAGTGGTCCTCCGAAAATCCTATTTCAGCTACTCTCAAGTGGATTACCAATTATGCCCTCGACCACAAACCCTTTTGAATTCCATGTCACTTGTTGTTGATTTTAAGTCGTTTGTAGACCTTGCAACCGTTTTTTTGGTACTCGTATTTCTTTTTTGTTCGATATGTTGTATCTTTCAAAATGATTGAGGCTTATCTAAGAAAAATGTTGAAATTGAAATAGTCAATCGATTTGAAAAATTGGTCAATCATATTTCATCAGTCATTTTTTTTTTTTTGTAAGGGTGTCCGGGCCAAAGCCCGACTAATCCCCGGCAAATTTGGAGGCTAAACATGGCCCCACTTAAATGTCGCCAACACTCCCCTCCCAGGGCTTGAACTCGGGTTCATGACTATGTCATGCCCAAGCCTTTACCACTAGGCTGGAAGGTCTTTGACTTCATCAGTCATTTTCTATGACTAGGATGACATAATATTAAATCATTTGAGTTATGGCGTACTGGCTAAACCTCAGGAGCGGGAATGTAGTGCAAAATCTCATCTACCGCGCGCATATTCAATTTCAGGCGCTGCTAAAACCCTTGTGGCGATGGAGGCAGTGGCGGACACAAGATTTTTACTGAGCAGTGTACTTTTAAGATAGATCAAACACCTGTAAAGTCATCCGATGTATTTTTAGACGAATTCCACCATTTCAAGGGATTTTTAAAGTTTTTTGGTTGATTTCGATAGACTTTTTTCATTTTTTTGGTTCATTTAAAGGTACTTTTTCGGTTTTTGGTTTGATGTTTGTTATCTTTTCTAAAATCTCAGAGCACTTCTCGAATTTCATACCTTAAAGAAAATCTTAATTGCTAAAATAAGTTGTGCATGTGCATAGGATCCCCGCTCGGACATACATAGGTCCGCCCTTGCATTGAGGTTCACCTTTGACGACTCCAAGTCATTCATGGTCGCCTAAGAGATTAGTCAGTGTGCGTAAGCAAACACGGAAACCCATAGTTACCCAAAAAAAATAACGTAATATTAAATGTTTAAACAAAGAGGACCACCGTTATACCAAGGGTGGTCCTCTTTGTTTTTCTTTGTCTTTGTTCTACCCTTCGGGCAGTTATCATTGCGGTCTCTCTTCTTTTTCTGTTTTGATCTAGTCTATGTCTTGCAGCTTAGACATTTCACTGTTTCAGTGTTTTCCCTCATTTATCATAAAAGTAACGCCTTTTTAAAAAAAAACTACACAATTAACTTATTTAATTATTGATCTTGAAATATTTTTTAAACATCTTATAAATTTTCTTATGAGATTAAAAGCGAACTATTTAACCTATCAAATTAGACCCTTTTTTTAATTATCAATGAGTTTTTTTAATAATTTATTGGTTAAATTAATGTTGCACGTATAACACATTTGACACGTTTTGTGTTTTTATTGTTTTCAACATGGTAATTCTCTAGTGAATCTATTTTATGATATTTTCTATTATGGGGGGTTTTTATTTAAAAATGATTTCTACTTATTATAATAGAAAAAATTCAAAAAAAACCCAACAAATTTTTTCATTTTGAATGGTTTAATTCTTAATTAATTTTTTGGAGTGAAAAACTATCAAACTTTCTTATTTTGAATAATTAAGGCTCTAAACTATTTTTTTAAATGAAGAAATTATTAAATTTTCATATTTTAAATGATTAAGTCCATGATTTTTTTAAATAAATAAACTTTCAAACTTTTACTAGCCGGTTAATGTAACATTTTTGGGTTAAAAGAATGTAGGTAACCAACTTTTAAAAGTCCGATGATTTGTTTATTAAATAAATC